GCGGGGGCCCCGAATCCGCCGCCCCCGCCGCGCGCCCCGCTGCCAGACTTCCGAAAATTTGCCAAAAACTCACCGCATGAATTTTCTTGTCCCGCGGATCCAAGATGGCGACGTATCCACCGCGGAGGCTGCTGGGAGCAAGACCTTTACCCTCTGACCGCCGCCGTGACCCCCGTCGCTCCGGCTTCCCTCCGGGTGGCGGCGGAAGGTGGGAGCGGCGACTGCAAAGCAGCAGCGATGGGGTGGGTAGGGCGCTTCCAGCGCGCTTCTAACAAGGTGGAGAGAGGCGCTTCACTCCCCTACCGCCCTCACCGCTGCTCCGTCTTGTCTCACATCGACTCACAGGGAGGCTTGCTGCTCCTCCGCGGCCGTTACAGAGAGCGGGGCTTCTGCGGCCGCTACCGTTTTCCTGGGGCCAGGTTGCTTCGCAGAGGGCTCTGGCCCTAAGTCCGAGGGGGACCGCAGGGTCCAGGGGCGATGAATGGTGTGGTGGCTTCAGTCCGCCCTCCCCGGGGATGCTGAGCGTGTTCGTGTTCGTGTTTGTGTTTGTGTTTGTGTTGGACACCCCGCCCCCGCACGTCCGCCTCCTCACTCCTCCCCTCCTCACTCCCGCCACCTGGGCGAATTTAACCGTGTCCCCGTTTCCTCCCTTAGCTCCCGCAACCTCCGGAGCTTGTGCGCGTACTTCAGGGACCGGCACCACGTCACCGTCACCTTCTGAGTAGTGAGTTCCCCTCTGATGAAACCACTGGTGTATTTACTCACCATCCTCACCTTTTTTTTTTTTTTTCCCCCAACCTGGTGGAAGGAAGTACATAATGGAGAGCAAGTTTTTAAAGCACGGTCGTGTCGTGTGAACTTGCTCTAGCCAAATTAGGTTTATAGCACTTTTTCTGACTCTCATTCCCCCCAGTCTCCACATAAATAAGAGTGACCAGCTGGGTCATCCGCAAGACCATTTGAAATTATTGTGGCTTGGGTGAAAACTTAAAGGAGTGAAGTATCTGCTTTCCGGAAAAATCGTTGTCGTTCAAAGTGAAATTAAACTTTTCTTTGCAATAATTCCCCTTTATTTCTTTGTATGTCTGTAAACTCTTCACTTTTTTTTTTGTAATTACTAGACATTTCGTTCTTAAGAGCCTCTGCATGTGTGTTTTGGAATTGTGTAGCTTCATAATGTGAAAATTGTCCTTTTCTATTTGAGCAATTAGTTAATTTGAAGTAAATAAAATTTCTACTTCACTTGGTTGTTTCTTTTAAAAATTCACCTTTTCCTTACAAAAGAATCACTGTAATCCAATTTAAATTTGTCATTGAAGGTCAAAAATAAGAAATAGCAAGAAACACAACATACTTTAAAATAAAAGGTAACTGTCATGTTTTTGAAGATAAGGTGTTTTGACATAGCAGACATTGTGTGAATTTATTTCAACTCCTAGTGGTACTAGTGTAGACAGAAAATGTTTTACTTGGTTATTCATTTCATCAAACATTCTACTTCTTTTTTTTTTTTTTTTTTTTCACTTCAGGAAAATTCGAGGAGGAACAACACATTGGTGTCTTTCCTTCTTTTCTCCCCGTCTTCTCCAAATAGTCCCTTCCTCTTTCTGCTTTCTCCTCCTCTCATGTTAACATCTTCAACCATAAGATGGTGTGTTAAAAGATTGGTTATATCTCTATAGAATGACTTCCAGAGGGTGTAAGTCTGATTTGAGAGTTTTATTACCTTGAGTATTTTACTGGAAGAGATAGAACAACAAACATTTTTATAATAAACGTGTGGGTTAGGAGTGTTAGGAGAAAATACACTGATACTATTACTTTCAATATTTGATACTACTTACTTTGACTCACTGAACACTATTTGTTTAGGATGAATTCACTTTAAGCCATGTTGAAGAACAAGCCTTTAATTGTCCTATTATTTGTGCCAAATCTATTATAAATTTGTTAAAATTGTTTTAATACCTACCTTAGAGGGTACTCTAGGTATTTAATGACCTAGCATTTGTTAAAGGCTTGTGTAGTAAGAATTCTTACTGTAAGAGTTACTATTCTTACTCTAAGAATAGATGCTACATTTTTTGAATTATCCTGTTGCATCAAAAAGTTCATCTTCATTAGTAATGTTAATCAAGTTTGCCCATTTGGTAGTTTGGTTTTCTTTTGACTATCTTAATAGATTTTCTTTCTTTTACCTGAAAAGTAGTCCATACTAATAGGCACATGTTTTGTGTATTTCCAAAATATGTGTTATGTTAAATTCTCTGTACACTTCATGTAAAAATTACAGACTTTGAGGGAAAAAAATACCCTATTAAGGGAAGAATGAGTTTGTGTATAACTTGTAGAAGAAGGCGGCCACCCATTTTTAGGAAACTATGGATGGTATTGAAAATTTTGCCATGGCAAGGGATAAAAAGCACAGGCTTCTCTAATGTGTCTAAAACAACATTGGAATCTCCTTTGTTCATTCCCTAAATCTCCTGCTCCTTTAGAATTCCTGATTTTCATAAATAGTACCACCATTCACTTATTTGCTCAAGCATAAAACTTGGAATTTTCTGTGATTCTTCACACTCATACAGCTCATCAGACGGTACCATCAATTCTGCCTGACAAATATATTCTGAATTTAGCTGCTTGTCACCTCCACCACTACAGCCCTTGGAAGCCACCATCATCTCTTGCTGGACCACGGCAATATCCATACTAGCTGCTTTCACTTTCTATCTGTACCCTCATGAAAATTTTCCCATTCAAACCATTCTCTATATACCAACCAAAGCAATCATTTTAAAAATGTTATTAGGTTATGTCACTCCCTTGTTTAAAACCCTCCAGTAGCTTCCTTATGCACACAGAATGAAATCGGAATTCCTTACCATAGCCTTCAAGACTGCATAATCTGGCTCCTGCCCTCTTCTCCATCTTCCCAGGAAGCAGTACGGGAAATTGTTCTCACCCTTCTTACTGCCTCCTTTCTGTCGTGGGCTGAGCTCTTTGTAGTCTGTAGCAGAGCCTGTTGTCCCCAAAATTTCCATTTTTTTCATAGTAGTAGACATGGATACATGGCTACCCGGAACAAAGACTGTATTTTGCAGCCTTCCTTGTAGCCATGTAATAGTGCTGGCTGATGGGATATAAGCATTGTATCATGTGGCACACTTGTAAAACCATCCTGAAAAGATAGTTGGTGTACACCTTCAATGCGGCTTTTCCTTTATCCTGTACCGTGGACTATAGATGTGATCTTGGAACTCTAGCTGCCAATTTGTGTCTCATGCAGGTTCTCTCATTCTAGGGATGGCAAAACTGGTGGAAACCAGGGTCCCTGAGGACTTTGTGGATGAGAGCACCATGCCAGCCCTGCACTCGTAAATGTCTATATTATTACACTCGCTATTTTGGGGTCTCTTGTTCTCAGCTGAATTTAATCTTACCTGATACTCTGTCTCAGGGACTTTGCACTTGCTTTTTATTTTTTATTTTTTTTTTTCAGCCTGGGATGTGGTTTTACTGTCTTGAATATGGCTCATTCATTCTCTTCCTTCAGGTTAACCCAAATGTATCTGACAGGCCTTCCATGGCCACCCTATCTAAAATAGCTCCCATTCCCATTTATTGTCTATCAATCACGTGCCCCTCTATTTTCCTAATAGCATTTATAATTTATCATTATCTTCTTTATTCACTGTTTATTTTATACCTCCCTTCACCCTACAAAAATATAAACTACACCTGTTTTGTTCACTACTTTATCCTTCACACATGGTGGGCGTTAGATAAGTGCTGTTAAATTAGTGAGTCAGTGAATGAAGCAACAAAATTCTTATCCAAGATTAGCTAGACTATTTTAATATTAAATGAGTAAATGTCAAAAGGTATCCTTAACACAAAATTTGTAAAATCCAATCTAGGAAACAGGGAAAACGGTACTAAACCAATAGAATATTCCTAGCCTTCAACTTAATAAAGAAGATGTCTATCTTTTTCTGGGAAATCTGTAAGGCTATTACAAGGGGGAAAAAAAAGTAGACTGCACTGCAGTATGTCCAGGGCTAAAATTCACACTAAAAGGGGTCTGATTTATAATTTACTAGACCTCAGTTTCTATCATCTGAAATATGTGTAAGAATCTTAAGCTTTGAATGGTAATATTGTAACAGTTAAAAGTTTAATAGTAAGCCCAACTTATGAGTGACAAAACATGTTAAACATTAATCTTCAGGCATTATTTTAACAAGTGGTTATTTCTTGATAGTACTGGCAAGGGTTCAGAGAAACAGGGCTGCTTATATTGCTGAGAGTATATGTTGGCAGCACTTTTCTAGAGTGCAGTTTGGCAATATGTATCAAAAGCCTTGAGCATGTGCATTTGACCCAGCAATTCTTTTAGAAATGTGTCATAAGCAGGCTGGGTGCAGTGGCTCATGCCTGTAATCCAAGCACTTTGGGAGGCCAAGGCGGGCGGATCACCTGAGGCCAGGAGTTCGAGACCAGCCTGGCCAACGTGGTGAAACCCCCATCTCTACTAAATACAAACAAATTAGCTGGGTGTGGTGGCGCACACCTGTAGTCCCAGCTACTCAGAGGCTGAGGCAGGAGAATCGCTTGAACCCGGAAGGCAGAGGTTGCAGTGAGCTGAAATCATGCCACTGCACTCTAGCTTGGGTGACAGAGCAAAACTCTGTCTAAAACAAACAAACAAAAACAAAGGCCAGGCATGGTGGCTCACACCTGTAATGCCAGCACTTTGGAATGAGGTGGGGGTGGATCACCTGAGGTCAGGAGTTCAAGACCAGCCTGGCCAACAAGGCGAGACCCATCTCTACTAAAAATACAAAAATTAGCTGAGCATGCTGGCGGGCGCCTGTAGTTTCAGCTGTTGGGGAGGCTGAGATGGGAGAATCACTTGAACCCAGGAGGCAGAGGTTGTAGTGAGCCGAGATTGTGCCACTGCACTCCAGCCTAGGTGACAGCGAGACTCTGTATCCAAAAAAAAAAAAAAAAGTATTATAAGCAAATAAGGATGTGTTTAACAAGTTAATTGCAAGGGTACTCTTTACTGCATCATTTATTAGGAGATTGGTTAACTAAGCAACATCCATACAGTGAACAGTATTCAGCCATTTGAAATGAAATGGAGGAAATTTTATTGACATGATATATTGTTAAGAGCAAAGAAAAAGTTTTAAAATACAAATGTTTACTTTTAAGTCTCACAAAGATCATCTAATGAAATATGCATGAAATGTTAAGTCAGCCTTGCAAACATAACTATTTTTTCATTATTTTATCTCAGTTACTGTTAGAGGAGCATTTTATATTGAATGAGGATCTTTATTAAAACTTCTCTTCAGCCTTCTGTGAAATCTTGTTATGATGGCTATAGTGACACTATATTAAACATAACCAGAATATGTTTATGCTCAAATATTTCAAACAATATTTGATGCTTAAAATACCAAAATGACAATGAAAATGAAAGAAATTTGGATAGTTCCTTAGAGTTGTTTGTGTTTCAGATACAAACATAAAGTATGTTTTTAATATTACCAGTTTTGAGAATAATAGAATAAATGCCTTCTCACCTTAATAAGATGTTTTGTTCTGACTCAGTATTCATTTGGCATTTGTTTTTCAAATGTAGCTGAGTCTCATTCATGTGCCAGGCACTGTGTTTTGTCTCTGAGAGATAGGAAAAACCAAACTTTTTTCCTGTTCTCAAATACTACTCAATACAATACTTCTGCAACAAGATGGGGTAGGGTAGCGGTCCCCTCTCACCCCTGCCCACATCAAACCATCAGTTCTCTCACAGACATCAGCTGGGTGTCTCAATTCTATTCAGTTCTGACACTGTCTACCTGGAGGCAACATCAGATCGAACAGATTGAGGGCTTGGTACTGCAAGACTGCCCCCACCACTTCCAGGGCCAGCCACAAGTAGTAGGTTGTCACCTAATACTCCTGACCAAGCTATAAATCAGGATTCCCATGATCCCTTCCTCAGGTTCAATTAGTTCACTAGTGTGGCTCACAGAAGTCAGAGAAACTACTTGCATTTACCCATTTATTATAAAGGATATTACAAAGCATACAAGTGAACAGCTGGATGGAAGAGGAGTCTGCACACCTTTTCTCCCATACCTTGCCTTATGTATAGGTAGGGAGAAGAGTTGTGGCAATTCCATGCCCTCTCCAGGCAGGCCAGCTTCCAAGAACCTCATAGTGTTCA